TGCACGGTACCGACGGACTTGACGTCTTCCCAGTTGTACGGACTCCCACTCTGCGACTTTTGCAGCTTGAAGGCTTTTACGTCGTGCGTGGTGTCTCCGAAGCTCTGTACCGCGATTTGTGAGAGAGTGTGGGGCGCCTTGAGATCCAGCACGATGTACCAGTTGTTGAAGTTCCTTCTGGTGTTAATGGGGTTCCAGAAGGTCGTAGTGTCCCCATCCAAGGCTTTGGCGGCATCGTATGTCTTTCCTCCATTCTTCCATGGTGTGCCGGCGGAGTCCACAACCCAGGACGGGTCCCTCCGCAGCCACGCACCTGGAGAGGAATATAGAGAACAAAGATTAACACTTTGCAAAAACAATATACATTGTGCGTTAATAGCATCAATTAATGGTATTAGGCAGGTTATACATTCAAAATAATTTGATAATTCAAAATGTGCCTCTCCTATAAATATTCTTCCTAACCTTTTTAGAATTGTGTCTTAAAGACGCAATGGGTTGTTTTACTCTAGAAGTTAGTGCTTGAGATATTTGTAGACATTTCCCTACCTGATGGTCCTTTAGGAGAACCTCCTCCGGTCAAAGCATCTGCAACAGATTGTGTCTTTCAGAGCAGAACCGGCATCTTATCACTTTTAATCTTGATAAAGCTTTACCCCTATTAAAATTGCAAATATGTCTAAATATCTAACAAGGAAGGATAACGATATTAAAGCTATGAACGTTTTTACACTAAGAGTGATACAATGAAAATGATTTCCAGTATTATCTTTAAAAATTCGTGAACAAATGTAAGCACTTCGTCCTGTCGACGTTACCTATGACAAGATTGCCACAATTGCCACAATAGAAGAATAGAATATTAGAAGACACGATACCTGAGATGAGATAAACCTCATTTCCCCAGGCTCCCCCTTCCCCGTCGTCCTTGCAGGTTGTATAGGGCCCGTACTTCCTGTAGCTTCTCCAGGCGTACGCAGATCCGGCACACCAGCCGCCATGTTGGACCGCAAAGATACGGAAGCCTTTCGACTTGGCCACCTGGTAGCACTTGTTGATGGCGTCGGCGCCTGCGGTATAGCTGCCGTCTAACCGGGCGTCTTTCCCCTCCAGAGTAGGGATGGCGCGATTTCCTGAGTCCCTCCAACAACCTAGGCTGATGTACGGCTTGGGAACATATCCTGTGGAAACAGGAGCAACATTAAACAACGATAAAAGTGACAAAAATATTTGAAATTGTGTCTTTTCGTCCATGGACGCAAGGGAAAGGCACTGGAATTCCGCACGTTAGATGCAAAAATAGGCAAAGGGCAAAGGGATACAAAAACTTGATCCGATCACGAAATGTGAAAACGAAGAACAAAACTATGCCTTACCGGAAGGCAAAGTTACTGGGACGCCTGCAAGAAAAACAAGACATGTTTAGAAAAAGTATCAACTGGACCTCGACACCAAGTTTTATACAAGATTTGTTTGGTACATAAAAAGTTTTAGGTATATAAAGTTTCATGTTTTTGAAACATTTAGCATCCTGTAGCCTTTGGTGTTCTTATACAGAACTGATGAGCCCATATTTACAGCTCATGGGATACACCTTTAATATGAAACGGTTATTCGCAAGATATTCAAGGTGTATATAGTGTCATAAGGCCTGGTGATTTCCGATGACCATCGGATAAATAGCCGAATGGAATAGCCGAACCAGACCTTTTGGCAAAACATGCACCAAGGAACAGACTGATCATTAACGTTATCATCACAAACATCAATAATCTTCCTAAAAAAATGTCTACATCATTTACTCCTTGAGGTTCCTCATATCAGTTGCAATACCGTTGGTCTGTCTGTCTCCTTGTTTGCTTCCAAATGCCATATGCGGCAGAGCACTTGTTCAACCTCAGCGCTGCCATTTTATTTTTACTTTCCAACATTTCATGACATAGTGACAGCAAACTCAAGTTATTATATTTCAGTCCATACCATGGTATGGATGAAATATATTGTGTTCTCTCATGTTTCTCCTCCTTCTCCTTCTTCTCCTGCCAAACAGTCAAAGGGATTCAACTCCGCCATCATTCAGCCAAATGACCCAAACTTTGGCATGGAGGTAGAGTGGGCCAATACCCAGATGCATTTTTTTTTTCATTTTTTCGATACATGCCTTTGAAACATTTTTATGAAGGTTTTTTGGGGCATTTTTCGCCAAAAAAATGGATTTTTGGATCCTGAGCCCTGGTTTTACAACCAAATGATCTGAAATTCGGTATAAGGGTACCTTGAACATGTGTCTACAGAATAGCAGTCACGTATTTGGCATACATCACTTCCAAATGACTCATTTGGGGGACTTTAATGGCTATTTTCAGCACAAAAAGGGCCAAAAGTGCTATACCCGTTCCATGTTCTATCTAAAGAATGGCCGGTTCCATCCATGGAACACGCGTTCCATTGCGAGTTACCTGGGGTCACATTGCACGTAAGTCGTGCGTAATGACCCACACATTCAATTTTATGTGCCTAAAACCTTCAAAATGTATCAAATCTCATCATTGTTAGTATTTGCATACCTGTAATAAGATTTAGTAAAGCTTTCGAGATTCAATGTGCTTGTTCTTGCATCTTTGTTCTCAATTACATGTACATAGCTACTATATGATTCATTTATTTGAGAATCTTTGCTAGTTTTACACTGGGGTAAGTTTGGAATAGTCCACTTTTGCATGGGAGGGAGATGGACTGAAATATGCTGTATTTGCTCCCAAGCAAATGTCGGCCTTTCTAGTTATAATACTAACTTATTTTATGCCGACACCAACGCAGAGGACAAATACAGTCAATACAACGACAAATACAACGATCATATTGCCTTGTAAAAGTCACAAGGCAATATGCATGGGAAATGGGGTAAAGTCTACAATCTCTAATGTTCTTGTTGTACGAGGTTTAGTCGTACTAAAATTACTGAAATTATCATAATACTTGCCGTGAGTCCGTACTTGTCTCTGACATACAGACACAATTACAGCTAGTGTGTTGTGGATTTGATTTAATTTGATATGAAGCCGTATAAAGACTGCCCCAACTAGCGGTGTTGTTGTGTTTCAATGCATGTTCTTCCTCACCTGTTATGAAGTAGACTTCGTTCGCCCAGGCTCCTCCTTCTCCATCTGACTTACATCCCGACGAGGGCCCGTGCTTCCGGTAGGTGCCCAGGGCAGTAGCAGAGCCAAAACACTCGCCGCCATTTTGGACGGCGAAGACGGAGAACCCGCGAGACTTGGCCACCTGTATGGTTAGGGTTACATCATTTCATGAGCATTGATGAAGCAATTCTGCAAATTTTTTTCAGAGAAGTCACTCCTCGACTAATTTAGATTACTTCGACATCTCCCTATGTCAGATAGTTAAATTTGCTAAATTGTAATACTGTTCTATCTATGGATCAAACTCAAAGTCGAATAGCGCCCTTTTTATGCTTCCACCGCCCATCTCTTGTATGTGGATTTTGTTACTTTTCTGCTGTCTTAATTTCACAAGACAAACTTAAAATCGTAATTATGAGAAAAGGTCTTTAAAGCAAGAGAATCATTGCACCTGGTAGCACTTCTCGAATGCGTTAGCACGGGAGGCGTAAGCCCCGTCCAGCCGTTCGTCCGTCCCCTCTAGTTCGGCGATGGCTCGGTCGCTGGTGTCTTTCCAACAGCCCAGGCTGAAGTACTTAGGACCCTGGACTCTTGCAACCTCTCCAGCTGTAAACAGATGTTGAACTCCTTCGTTAGATTAAGTAACCCCCACAAAGGCTTATCATATTGCTTTATTTCTACGACAAAATATGTGTTAGAAAAAGAGTTATATGTCAAAACATCATTTCAACTATTCAATTCTTGATTATTTTTCATATAATTATAATCCAGTGTTTACTAAACACATACATTTAAAGCTCTGATGCATTTTCTTACAGAGAAAGATAGAATCCAATATGTCAAAAGGGTGCACAGCATAATCTTTCGTTTTTGTATGGTAGCTGGCAATCGATATACTCACCTATTTTCGCTGTGCTGAACATATCTGAAACACAAAAGAAAATAACTTATAGCAATAAAAAATACCCTTATAACATATGAAACAACTCTCTCTTAAATAAGATATAGTAGTTAAAAAGGTATATAGTACTAGATAGAAATACAATACCTGAGACAAGATAAACCTCATTTCCCCAGGCTCCCCCTTCCCCGTCGTCTCGGCAGGTTGTATAGGGCCCGTACTTCTTGTGGGTACTGTGGGCGAAGGTAGCCGACCCCGCACACCAGCCGCCGTTTTGGACCGCAAAGATACGGAAGCCTTTTGACTTGGCCACCTGGTAGCACTTGTCGATGGCGTCGGCGCGTGCGGTATAGCTGCCGTCTAACCGTGCGTCTGTCCCCTCCAGAGTAGGGATGGCGCGATTTCCTGTGTCCCTCCAACAGCCGATACTGAAGTATGGCTTGTGAACATATCCTGTGGAAATGCAATCAAAATTGCACAATTTGATGTTTAGTGTCAGATGTTTGGTTCAGGTGAGTCTGGCATTGGTATTTTGTGTGTTGAATAAAAGATAACTCCACCGAAAAATAAGTTAATCGTGCATTACAGAAAGAATGTAAAATTACTTACCAACAGGCAATGTTTTGGTGGCGCCTGGAAGAAATACAAGAAAGATTAGAATGCTTATTCATACCTTGGATGTATCCTCATAGTAATAGCTATAGGCTTTACTTTATACTATTGATGTAATTTTTCTGTGGCAAAAAGCTGTAATCAAAATATTTTACTTCTAGTTTTGTAGCGCGGATACAAAGATGCTTCTGGTAGTCAAAACTAATTTGTGTTTTCATTCGCGAGCGTTTCTGTCTAGACCTCTTGTTGGTCCTAAACAACAGCTAAGAGATGAATCCTTAGCGCTTTTTATATATATATATAATTTATCAACAGGATGGAAAGGGTTAAAACAATAAGCTATGTGAAAAATGAGGAAAGTCTCAACTTTGATGGTCTTTTCTTGGAAGATATTTATCTAATTTTAATAGATGTTGCACCTCACCTGTTATGAGGTAGACTTCGTTCGCCCAGGATCCTCCTTCTCCATCTTTCTGACATCCCGCCGAGGGTCCGTACCTCCGGTAGGTGCTCAGAGCAGTAGCAGAGCCAATACACTGGCCGCCATTTTGGACCGCGAAGACGTAGAACCCGCGAGATTTGGCCACCTAATAAAGACACGGTTTCTACATTACATGAGAATTCATACACAGCTCATTGCTTTCCTAAAATTGAACATTTATTGTCAGACATACAACTTTATGATTTGTTTTGAAAAACAAGCTGTACTGTCTGGTTTTAACAGTGTCATGGAATTCTACACTAAAAATTATCCTACTTTTCATAGAGATCCTGTGATTTCATGAGTAGTTCTTAGAATGCGAATGGTCAATAACATAGAGCCACTTGAGTCCAAAAACTCTCACAAGAAGGCCAAATCAGACCCTAACGACGAGATATTGAGTAACACAGGTTACTTGTATATGACCGAAATGGCTTGGTCAACCGGGCCTCAAGGTCAACCAGTACACACGGAAAACGTCGTTAGGAGACATGTTTGCTTCTACCAATTAAAACAAACTTTAGAGAACCTGGTAGCACTTCTCGATGGCATCAGAACGGGCGGTGTAAGATCCGTCTAGCCGTTCGTCTGTCCCCTCTAGTATGGTGATGGCTCGGTTGCTGCTGTCTTTCCAGCAGCCCAGGCTGATGTACTTCGGACCGGCTGTAGGGACGAGAAACAGATTAGTTTTTAGTATTACCCTAAATGCACCACTTTCTATAGTACATTCCATGTAATCCCAGCAGTTGTAAACATACCATCTATTCAGAATGCAGATAAAGAATTGAAGATAGACTAGAGAGGAGAAAAAAAGGTCG